AAAAAATGCTCATTGAAAATAGTTCACATGTATAAATTAAAAGATATAACTAAAGCGGTTACAGCGCTAAACCAAAGGAAACGTTAGAAAAAATAGCAATGCAATTTGAAGGAAACATGAGGTCATCAAATGTTTGTTTGTTTCGTTAATTCTCTGAACCTTTTATTTGCAGTAGTTTGCAAATATACACTAATTTTTCTAAAATCGCAACCATTTTCGTGGGATATTTTTCTTTGATTTCGAATTGAAAATACATTACGATCATATTGTACCGAAATAAGTGCGGTACCCCAGCATTTTGTAAAAGCCAGAAAGGGGCATAAACTGTATGAAAAAATGAAATGAATGACAAACAATATCACTTTGAAATGGGGGTGCTATTGTATTGGCCAATACTGTGTATTGGTAATGAGTAATGTGACCAACTATTTCATAGCTCAAAGAAGTACAGGTTAGGTTGGGCTAAGTTGACGGCTGTTTTCGATCCCTGAGATCTCAGTGTTTGTTCAGAAGTGCGAGCCAAAATGCTTCCATCTTAGCCTCGCGAAGGTTGGATAGGTTAAAAGAAACCCTTTGGAGCTACGCAGGTATGATACCATCGGTCCCGGCGACTTTAATGGTGTGAACGAATTTATCACCCAGGCCATGTGATGATAGTCCAGAAGATCGAGGAAGTACAGGACCTGGGGGGAGATTCTGAAATCAGTTAGCGGCAATTTTCGAATCGCAATCACACTTTTTGACGCAAAATCATTTATATCATGCGTCAAAAAGTGCGATAGCGTTACGAAAATCGTCGCTAACTGGTTACAAAATCTTCCTCCTGATGTACAAAATATCGCAAGGCAGTACATTTGACTGTACTTCGAAGTACGAAGTACAAGAGCGAAAAAATAAGTACTGCACTTCCGAAAGAAGTACGGTTGGTCACATTATGTTAACAATATCACCCCATAATCATATATGTAATACTCCTATATTGGCAGTAAGAGCCAGTACCGTCCGATATATCAATAAACACGTACGAAAGAAAAGGAACACATACGTGTATAAATAAACATGTACACAACACATAGTATTACATATATGCCCATAATTTTTCATATGAAAAAATTTATTATATGCATCCCACTCGATATCGTTGAGTTCCTCATTGGAACATGTAGTCACTCTATTTTTAACCGACTTCCAAAAAAGGATTAGGTTATCAGTTCGTCGGAATCTTTTTTTTTTTTTTTTTTTTATGTATGTTACCGCATAACTATGGACCACGTCAACCGATCTGGTTGAGATCCGATCAGTGGATCATGAGATATATATATATATGTATTTTTTTTTTTATATGGGAGTTGGGAGTCCGTGGCTTTAGTCCCAGTAGAATAGAGAAAGGTTCAATATCTTCTAGTAGCGTGGTTTAGTTTACCATATCGAAAACCATCAATAAATTCAAAGCAACTCGAATTGTTCCCTAACTGGGGCGATTGTGTCAAGGTCGCTGCTTATCTGGCGAAAAGTGATGGTACTTACTGTACAGTGTACACTCTACTGCTTAGACAAGCTTAAATGGTTATTGATTTTGGGGAGGAACTCTGAAGCAAGAGATAGTGAAGGAAGATATAGAGTGAGTTAGCTGTAGTTTGGTCAGGTGAGAAGCAGCAACTACCCGTAATCCTGATCATCATTTGATAGGGATGTATGCTACAGCCTTACGGTTTTCAGCTCTGTCGGTTAACAGGTAGTGGAGAGCGCTATATATTTAAAGCTCGACATCGCTTGATGGATAGCATTACATTGAAATTATAGGTTGGTGTAACTACGGTCGATGTCTGCAAGGAGACACAAGCTCCCCTGGAGCCCGTTGCGCTTAAATGGTCACATTTTCGTCCGCCTCGGAATGTTTGTCGCTTTAGATCTGCACCAAGGGGCAAGGCATTCGCCTTAATTCTCAATGTCAATTCACTTGTGGTACGCAGGTCGAAACGTACTCTACAGTTGGATCAGCCAATTCAGTAGCTCGTTTCTGTAACAATTCTCTACCAAGGCGAATTGAGATATAAATTCGCCGCCCTGTTCTCTACTGTTAATGAGTAGTAGAGAATGACGTATATTCTCTACCAGTAGAGAAATAATCGGTAGAGAAGAGTTACAGAAACGAGCTACAGGAATTGTATTTGACTGAGATCAGGGTCCAATATATCGAGCCCTAACCGCCAAAATAACGTAAGCGACATATTTTTCAAAATTTTATTTTTGATGCAGAAATGCATCTCAATGCTCTAGGAATATTTCTGCATCAAAAAGAAAATTTTGAAAAAAATTTCGCTTACGTTATTTTGGCGGTTTTGACGGTGTGAGAGATTAGCTGCCCTCATTTGAGTGTAGGATTATAATATATATTGCGTAGGTGGCGAAAAACGCAGGTAGCGGTAAGTAGACTTGAGTATGTCATAAGATTGCACCTTCAATTGAACTGATTACGTCTAACTGAGTTGGAGTTTGTATTGAAATTCTCTAGAATACGCAATGCCGGCGCGAGGGGGAAGCCAGAGCGATGCAGTGTAAGCTATTGCTTCTAGGACGAACAACGCGCATTTCTATAATTTTATTCGCGTTACTTGTAAGTAATTTAAAGCTAACAGCTTTCTAAAAAGGTTCAAAGTAAAAGGTAAAAGATAAAAGATGAAAAATAACGAGATCTTACCATTTTTAGCGTCATCTAGCGGCAAGATACTTTAGACTAGTCCATTACGCTGACATTTGTTTTTAACTTGACAGCTAGCAACACATGGCCAAAAACAAAACACACAGCAGTAAGGGTGGGTAACTCAGCAAATTTATAGGAGTTGACTCAATGACTCCAACTCCCTTTAAGGAGTCAGCTCATTCAACTAACTCATTTGACTCTTTGTATGTTACACTCATTCGTATCGTAGACTCGTTTTGAGGCATAGATGCGGTATAGCGGCCGT